TTTTTGCTCTTGGTGCAGCTTTGACACCACAACTCCAACACTCCTCCTTGGTGTTAAAGCTGCGGGAAACAAGAAATTTACCTAAGCATTTGGAATATGCCATTTGCAGTTCATTATGCTTTGGTTTTGATTTGTTGTTGCTACTAAAACCATCTCCTTTAGCAGATTAGCTCCTCCTTCAATACTACAGCTTCATCTTGCTTAGATTTGTTGCTTTAACAAAATTTTGGAGCTTTGTTGAGCTTTCCCATAAGTTGCTTAGTTTTCTTCTTTTAATCTACTATTTCCTTAGGGTCAGATCAGATTCAGCTTTATGGTGAACATGACTTAATGTATGCTCTGAGTTTTCTTTCTTTCTCAGTCTGCACCGTTGACAGACATTCTTTTTTCCTTTGGACTATTGGCTGTAGAATCCATGAGCACCTTCTCTTTGTTGGTCTAGCTTGCCTCTTCACACCATCTCCTCACTATGCTTGATCTTGAGCTATAGTGGGCCTACCATATGCCTTCATCATTTGTTGAGTGATTTGTTTTAAAATGGAAAAGGGATTTCACAACAGAACATACTAGAATCCATAGAAAGGTGGTTTTTTTTATTTTTTATTTTTTTTGGTGTTCTCTTAAAATCACTCTCAAAGGTCCCTCAAGATCATAAAGGCTTTGATACCATGTTAGATTTTTCGATGGTAAGAAGAAATGGTTTTGAGAGAGGACTTGGAGGAGAAGAAGAGAGAGACCTTGGAGTTACCTCGCTTGGTGAGGTCTAACCCATTTTTTTTTTTTCATTCATCTTCGGACATTCTATAGCAGAACTTTCTTAATACATCAACATCAATTTTCTCAACTAATCTTTACCTAATACAAGAAAATTTACCAACCATTTAATGCAAGATTACATTAAAAGATTTGCTGCTATTTGTGTGGCTCCATGTGCTGTGCTTTGCTGCTACTTTGCAGCCTTTCATTTGCATTTCATTTTGGCCTCATTTCATCAACATTTGTAGCTTCGCTTGCTGCACTTTGCTGCTGCTCTTGGTGCAGCTTTTCCCTGCTTTTCATTTGCTGCTCTCAGTGCAGCTTTGACATCTTTTTGACATCTTTTCATTTTCTGCTCTTGGTGCAGCTTTGACACCACAACTCCAACAATTTGTTTTATCTTCCTCCCACTGGTTTATTGAATTAGTTCGGCCATTAGCATTATCAAAATTCAGAGGTTTAATATAAAATTGCAAGATCGACTTTAGAAGGTGTTTGGTAAGGTAAGTTAACAAGTCTTTTACGTTCGATTATCACAACGTTGAAAAATCTACCGGCAGGCATTTGGTCCAAAGTCTAAACTTTGTCGAGTGGAAGTTGATACTAGTATAAACTTTATAAATAAATCCAAGTGATTATGACGTTTCACTATTAAACTTTGCATAATATGATCATTGACATTTAACAGACGCATATTGTGGCTGATTTGTCTGCTTTCTCTTCTAATCAACGTAACCACAAAGTTAGGTTTTTGTCGTCTAAAGAGACGTCCAAACGTGCGGTGTCTGGTATGGACCGTTTGGTAATATTAAATTATTAATTATTAAAACTTCTTTTTTTAGACCGTTTAAATGTTTTTAAATTAATTTTTATATATTTTAAAATTATTTGTTTATACAAGTTTAAAAAGCAAACTCTCAATAATATAGTGTGTTAAAATTAATCTGCTCTTTAAACTTTAGTATATATAATAAAGTTTCATTTGAAAATACTTTTTAATATTTTATCTTTTAATTTTTATATTTTTATTATTTTAAAAATACATAAATACTAATTAAAATAAGAGAAATTTGTTTTACAGGATAGACGATATACTGTCCGTCTTGTAAAATTACTTAAATGCTCTTAAATTTATTTTTATATTATTTTATTAAAAATATTTAAATAATTTTACAGGACAACCATTTACAGTTTACTTTGAAAAGCAGTTTTAAGTTAAAATAAATATAAAATATATAAAATATATTTTTAAAGTGATAAAAAACTAAAAACCTACCATTACAATTATAAATTAATATTATACAAGTAAACCATAAACCTTCCTTTTTTTAAAGTCCTATTTATGCTCTTAGTATGCCCGCAATACCTCGGTTACTTTGATGGGTCCATATTATTGAATGGTTGTAATGGCACCAATAATGCAAGTCTATGTAAGACCATATGACCTCAAATTTAATTTGACGAAAACGAGTTATAAGTCATGAGTGGACCTTAGAACCTAGGTAATCAATTTGTTATATCAGAAGAAACTATGAAAAAAAATCATAACAATGTGAGAATAAAAGTGTAAAGAGGACTGGGGAGAGTGCAATGACTTACATATTCCTTGCGTCATCTTATTGTCACATTTTTAATGATTACAATCATATTTTTTTATTTTAAATAATTATTATATTTTTTTAATTTATTTAAAAATAAATATTATTAAAATTTAATAAATATATATATAAAGAAGGATACAATAATATATCATGGTAACAATAAGAAAAGCCTTTATATTTATTGGCTAAATATTTAAATGTAAAAGACTTTTTTATAAATCAAATCACTTGTTATATCTTATAAAAAATTTTCACACTAAGAAAATTTATGATATTCATAAGAAGAAATCATAAATCAATTATGCAAATACGTCATACTAACAAGGTCGATGATTTCATAAGAAGAAACCAAAGAATCATCAAAAGATGCTAAAACAATTTCATGAAAAAACGAGGGACCAAAACAGTGACAGCAACACTCGGGCTGGATTTGTAACTGAGGAAGCAATCAAAAGGTGCATATTCCTAGTAGATTTTGCTTTTACTTCGTTTTTTCGTACAATTATGCACATGCTATGTTAATTATGTCTACGACTCTGCGGAACAACCGCATCATTACTCAACAATTCAAATTGACTAAAAATAATTCCATTATAACAAAACTTGGGGGGTATATTATAGGAAAAACACAAATTTTGGCTTAATATAAATGTTTTACAATTACACATAGCAAAGCAAGTTGAGACCACTGAAGACAAAATCTAGTTAGGCACACAACCCACATTTACACATTGAAGAGAATTTTTTCTATGCTAAAAACTAAGGATTCTTGGCAGGCCCTGCAGATTGGTGTCTTTCTGCAAACCGATTAACTAATGCGAGGGCATTGCTAGTTACCTGAGCAACATCGACGATACCACGCCTTATTGAGTTCTTCATATTTCCATCCATCTGACGCCCTGCAAAGCAGTCAAGACAAGTGTTCTCATCGGTCAGGGCAGCACTGGTCCATGTCTGGACGTTGCTCATGTGCCACATGAAGTCCTGACCCACGGCTTGCCCCATATGGCCGAGTTCGTTCATGGACTGGTTGAGCCGGTCCACACTATCAGCCATGGTGTTGATGCAGTCTCTGACAGCTTGGTACTCCCTAGGTTTGATGCCTCGCACTTTAGCCATCTTGGCTACATAGGCTGAAGTGGAATTAGCCTTGGCTAAGCTTACTTTCAAGGCTGTTTGAGCTAGTTGGTGGTCGCTTTGTTGAATCTCATCGGCATAGCCTGAGAGGGACTGAACACACAGTGGAGGGTAGCGAGTGGTCTTGCAAGAGGCTACAATGAAGTCTGTTGGGCTGGAAGACACAGCCATGGCAGCCACAAAGAGAATGGGAAAGGAGAGAACCAGTAAGAAAAAGCCAAGTCTCGCCATGTCTCTGGAAGATAGATGAGGGAATTATCAAATATGAGGAGGTTGGATTTTGATGAAATGCATGAGAGTATGGGCAATGTATTTATAGAGTGCAAATGGTTCTTCCCATCTTCTTGTAAATATTAAATTAAGAAGACAAGTATTCACATGGCTTGCTTCCCCTTTAACTCCGTTTCCCATGAACTCCATTACTCTCTTCCATCTGTTTTACTTTTAGTTGTTTATTTGTTCATTTCTTCCCCATTCTCTTCCGTGGTGACTAGGAATTCTAATTTCTAAGCTTCCAAATTCTTTTCTTTAATCTTGTACGTGTCACAAATGTAAAGATATTTGTATTTTTTGTGTTGTTTATATATCTGTTTAACCTAATCCTTTTCAGGATTCTAAACTAATTTGAACAAAGTTTGGTACAAAAACATGATGAAATAAGCAAGATTTGCATACGCAATCGAAATTGAAATTCTGCTAAATCAGAAGAGCTCTAAATCTAGATTAAAAAAACAAGAATATACAGGCCAATAGTCTAAGCAAAGAAATCTCGAAAGATCTAGAATAGCTATACATAAAGAACTTCTGCTACATCATAAGTGCTATAAATCCTATAAAGTTTAGATGGTTAATTTCAGACTTTTAGAGTTTCAGCCAGTTAGTTAGCAGTAAACTAGTATTTAAAGACATTAGTTTTGGCATTATATAAGTGAACGTGCTCGAATGATCAAACAACCATAATTAAATCTGGGAGAGAATCAAGTGGGAGAGTTAGAAATTTGATACGTAAGAAAGTGAGCTCATTGCCAGACCACGAAGCATGAGCTAGCAGCAATTAAACGGTTGATTCTATACAGCTTGGACAATAATTAAGACATTTATATGCAGAAGGTGGTAAATTATACTGCCTACTAGGCCAATATCTCCTTTTTAAAATGCTAAACTAGATCACTAAAGTTCAACTCAAAGTTGCCTCGAGATTTATGCCTTTGAAGTCAACTTGCGGCTCCCGCGTAGATATATTATTGCATACTCTGCAATTTCCGCAGCTTTAATTTTAGCCTGTCAAGTGAACATATTTAGTAGTAGCATCCTGCAGGACTTGTTGGTAGCTAGTTGATTGCAATGGAAGGTAGAGAGGTAAGGAAGTAATGCTAAGTAACTTTTGATAGATAGTTACAGTGATGAAAAATAATATTTACATAATCCCTATGACTTCTCTTCACATGCAAGTTACAAAATTTAATCTGAACAAAGAAGATTTTAGAAAATGAGATCCAATTCACTAGAATAAGTTGTTAACTGTGACAAATCTATCTTCTCTTGGGATGTAAACAACTGTATGTCTGTATCGTAGTGTATATATGGACGGTAAAGCTAAGTAAAAAGTGATTTTTTTATAGATACATTAATTCCATTCTTGACAAAAAATTTTAGGAAAATGATATGGTTACCCTACCAACCGACACCCTCGGCTAAGAAATTCAATTCCCAAAATATAATATGATTTAAATAGATTTGTGCAGTGTTAAAAATTTATCCCTAGCTTATCTAGGTTATTATTTGGCTCCTTCAAAATTCCTAGTCCTTAAGGCCAATTCAATCCCTCCAAACTCTACAGATTTCGGCACTTACTTATCCCAATTTGATGGAACCATGTCAATCGGCTTTCCCCAACCTCCATTTCTCCAAATTATACAGATTATGAGTCCATGTGTTAGGCAACAAGACTGATTATAAGAGTTATAGAAGTGTCAACGAAATCCCCAAGACTAGATTCCAACAAGAGTAACAATTTTTACTTATGCTCCTCCATCTAAGTCTGGGCCACTAAACAGAAATGGGTTCCGTCGCATTACCCAAGTTACGAAGATGAAGACAAGGATCGCATGACTAGAATTGTAATTCCACATAGCCTCTTTGTCTTCAACTAAGCTCTACCTTTTCTACAGTAGTAGTTAAAAAGAAAGATAAATTTTTATTCGAAAATAGACAACGTAGGAATAAAGTGCAAGTAACTTTGTATTAATCTAGGATTTAGGTGAATTTAAGCACCAAGTTGCTTTATCTCTAAAATCCCATCACCACAAAGTTTTAAATTATTTTTTTCAACCCAAAAAAAGTTTTATTTGATTCTTTTATTTGGTCAAATCTGAATTTTTTTTTTTTTTGAGCACCACTAACTTCTCCATACCTTTAATCCCTTTCAACCCACTATTCACAAATAAAAAGAACCCATATTTTTTGTATTAAAGAGAAGAAAGATAGAATTCAACAAGAAGCAAGGGATCTTGCAAACTTAGATCGTCACTGACGCTTTCGTCATCAATGAGCACTTAGCGGAGGATAGGAAAGCAAAAAAAATACAAAAGAAAATCTTTGGATTCTTCCTCAAAGCCAATGATCACAGTCAATCACATCTGCTTCTCCTTATCTTTGATCGAAGCATCTACGTCCAAAGAATCAAACACCTACAATATGTGAAGGGAGAAGACTAGAAGGTTTGATGCTCTTCTTCTCTCTCTTCTATGGGAAGACATGTTTCCAACCTATTTGGTAGTGAGAATAGACATTGTTTACTTGAATAGTTGAGCACTAGAGTGTTTTGGCATTATTCCAAACCACAAAATAATATATATTATATAGGGTGTAACCCGCCAGGTGTTGAACCGGCAAGTGTCCTTATCATGTTCCAAAATTTTAAGCTACCTACATTACGACAATGATATAGGTAATGTAAAAACACCCTTAATTATCTTTTACCACCTCTCTATTATACTGTGATGTACTTGACAACAACTACACTAACCTTTTCCATGAAAGCTACTGCTTGTTTCTGCAAGTTTAGAACTCAAAACTTGACATAAAATTTGGGAGTTCAATTCCAAAAGTTCTCGGTGAAAGCAAGAGTTGGAGTTAATCAAGGAGTATGGTTTCTTTAGATTTAATTTCTCCAAGAAGAATAATGTTGAAGCAAAGGTTTTAGCTTGTTTTTGTCTAAATTAAACCAAATCAAATTTTGCAAACTTAAATTCTTATGGAGATCAATACTTTTCAATTCTAACCACTAATTAACTGAAAGGGCCAAAGAGACAAACAAAATATTGATGATTATAACATTAGATGAAGCATGTCAGTCATGAGATCACAAGACTATAAGACATACTCAAAGTTGGGCAAAAAATTTTGTGGGCAGAAAATTTTGTTGACAGCACTAACCTGGTTAGGCCTATGTGCATTTTCTATATTTTCATCTAGAACTAGAAGTGTCAACAAGAATCTGTTTAGCTCATTGCTCGTCACCATCTCCAACAACTATATGGAAACAAACAAATGTCCAACTAAATCAAGTAGCATAAAGGTGGTGATTTCAATGCAATAAAGTCCATCAATAAGAAAAGGTTGTCGAACGGCTCAAGCTGAAGTATCAGATTTTGCAAGTTTATTAGAGGGAACAATCTAGTTGATCTTCCTCTTGTTGGCAGAAGGTATACTTGGTACCAACCATATGGAGTTGCAATGAGTCATCTTGACAAGTTCCTATTTTTTAGAGAATGGATGGTTAGATAGGAAAGGATGAAACAATGGGGATTATGTAGAGGAGTCTCTAATCATTGCCCAATTCTGGTGAAATGTAAAGTTGTGGATTGGGGACATAAACCTTTTCTCTTCTTTGATGTGTGGCTAAGTGCCACTGATTTTAAGGAGATGTTCTCCAAGAATTGGTCTTCTATCCAAGTGAATGGATGGGTAGGATATATGTTAAAGGAAAAGTTAAAAAGAATGAAAGAAGTACTAAAAAGAAGGAGTAGGGAGCAATTTAAAGGTCTTGATAGCAAAACTGATGGCATTCGAGATGAAATTGCAGCTTTGGATTTAAAAGGAGAATCACAATAATTATTGGTGGAAGAAATTGAGCTCAGAAAGGACAAGTTATTGGAATTAGGGACTCACTTGCAAAATAGGGAGAGCATGCTCAGAAAAAAGTCAAGAAAGAATTGGCTTAAGGAGGGAGATGAAAACTCAAAATTTTTTCACCAATGTGTGAAAAAGAGATGGAGAAGAAATGAGATAAATTGCATACAGGTTGATGGCAAAAATTTGGAAAAGGTAAAGGAAATATAGGAAGGGGTGATGGAATATTTCAGAAATATGTTTACTAAAAAGTGTTGGCCAAGACCAAACTTAAAGAATATTCACTTCCAACTGGTTTCATCTGAAGACAATGTCATGTGAACGACAACATTTAGTGAAGAGGAGACAAAGCAAGTTGTCTGGGATTGCAACAGTACAAAGGCTCCTGGGCCAGATGGATTGAATTTTGGATGCTTAAAGGTGGTTTGGGAAATTATCAAGGATGATGTTATATAGTTTGTGGTGGAGTTGCAAAAGAATAGTAGGTTAGTAAAAGCGTCAAATGCTTCCTTTATTGTATTGATCCCAAAGAAAGAAAATCCTGTGAGAATAGGGGATTATAGACCTATTTCACTCATCAACTGCATGTATAAGGTGATAGCTAAGCTTCTAGCTAATAGATTGAGGTGTGTTTTAGACAGGCTGATTGGCAAACAACAATTTGCTTTCATAGGAGGAAGACAATTAATGGATAGCGTGATGGTGGCAAATGAAACTATTGATGAGGTAAAGAAGAAAAGAAGGAGATGTATTATTTTCAAGGTGGATTTTGAGAAGGCCTATGACAAGGTTTGTTGGGATTTTTTGATGAGCATGATGGAGAAAATGGGATTCTATGTCACTTGGAGAAACTGGATTTTGGAATGCCTTAAAACAAACTCAGTTTCACTGCTTATAAATGGAAGCCCCACAAGGGAATTTTCTATGAGCAAAGGATTAAGGCAAGGGGATTCTTTATCCCCATTCTTGTTTCTAATTGTGGTTGAAGGACTTAGTGGCATTATCCAATCAACATTGGATAAGAAACAGTTCAGTGGGGTCCAGATTGGGTAGAAGGAGTTCTGTGTATCTCATTTGCAATATGCAAATGACACAATCATTTTTGTAAAAGCAAAGGAGTAGAATGCGTGGGCTTTGAAGTGCATCATCAAGATTTTTGAGCTTGTATCGGGTTTAAAAATAAACTATGGTAAGAGCATGATAATGGGAATCAACACAGATGAAAGATGGCTAGAAAAGATGGCTAGAGTCCTAAATTGTGAAGTTAGAAGTATACCTTTTGTGTATTTGGGAATTCCAATAGGAACAAACATGCAGAGATTAAAGCAATGGAAGTTTTTGATCAAGAAATTCATAACTAAGCTATCAACTTGGAAATCAAGGCTGCTGTCTTTTGGAGGGAGGATTGCTCTGTTAAACTCTGTGCTTTCTAACCTTCTAATGTTTCTCATGTCCATGTACCTTGTTCCAATAGGAGTGATTAAGATCTTAGACTCCATTAGAAGAAGTTTTCTATGGGGGGAAGGGGTTGTGAGAAGAAAAAGAAGATTTGTTGGGTTAAGTGGAAGAGTGTGTGTAAGGATAAATTGGTCGGTGGATTAAGGGTGAAAAATCTTAGGGCATTTAATTTTTGTTTGCTAGGAAAATGGTGGAGTAGGTTATTAACTCAAAAAGAGGGGTTATAGAGGTTGGTGTTAGAAGAAAGGTATAGTGTAAAACAATGTTTTAAAAACCGGATCGGATTGACCGGTTGAACTGGTCGGACCGGTATCCGATACAATAAATGGTTCGGATTAAGGTTTAGAATCGATGAAGTGATTGAACTGTTTAAAACCGATAAAACCGTTCGAACCGATGCAAACTGTTCAACCGGACGGTTTAAATCTTTTGGAAAATTTCCCATAAAGTTGTCACCTACATGCTTCGAACACAAGTCTCGTAGAGCATTTTCCATCACCTTTGCCACTGGGACACCACCTCTATGATTGAAAAGAGTGGCTTAAAATTTTATTTATTTTATGTTTACGAAGAAAAGAATCACATTGCACCTTACTCGCACTTTCTTTTCTTTTATAATTAATTTTCACATTAAAATTAATATAATGTTAATCTAATTTTTAT